ATCTTCTGCTGGAAGCCTGTATAAGGAAAATGGAAGAATGAAGATTTCCTTCTCTGCTTGCTTGTTCTGAAATTACCAGCACATACATTTCTTCTCTTGCATTGGAGCCTACTTCTTTGGGATCCCAGCATATATACATATATACAAAACTAGCTGAGACACCCAGACTCATGGGACTGAGCAACTACTAGATTCTTAGACTTTCAATTCACAGTTAGAAATTGTGGGATTATTATATATTCTCTCTCTCTGTATATATATATATATATATATATACATAACATATATATGTTATATAAGTTCTGTGATTTGAGATAACCCAGACTAATGCAGCATGCTTGTGGAACCCTGTATGTACCATTTTTTAGAATTTTAGAACTCTGAAAATATAGCTCAGACTTCCCTATTCATCAAGATACTTTTGAGTTTCATAAAAACATAAAAATATCCCCATTAATCTACAAAGGTAATCCCCAGTTAAGACTCCTAGCAATACTGGATATGTAGCCTTAACTGGCCTTCTTCTGTGATCAGATTGGTGACTACCCCATTGTTAACAGAGAGCCTTATGGAAACAGATGCAGAGATGCACAGCCAAGCATTAGACCAAACTTAGGGAGTTCTGCTGAAGAGAGGGATGAAGAATTAAATGAGACAGAGGGGTCAAGGACATCACAAGAAAACCCACAGAAACAACTGATCTGGGTTCATAGGAACACAACAAGTAGGGAGCCTGTATGAGGCTGACCTAGGACCTCTACATATATGTGACAGTTGTGTAGCTTGGTCTACTTGTGGGACTCCTAGGGGGCATGAGTTGTCCCTAATGCATTGACTGGCTCTTGGGAACCTATTCCTCATACTGGATTACCTTGCTCAGCTTCAATACAGGTGGAGGTGCTTAGTCTTACTGCAACTTGATATGCCCTGCTGCATTGAGACCCATGGGATGCCTACCCTTTTCTGAACAGAAACAGGATCAGTGGATTGGGGAGGAGTAGAGGGGAGGAGGGGTATGGGGAAACATTCAGTCTCAATGTAAAATAAATAAATTCATTAAATAAAAACATAAACATAAGAAAGCAAATGCTACATTGAGAAATGTTCATAATTATATAACTTCATTGTGTGAAATTGCAATGAAGGACTAAGAAATTCATGTTATTTATACAGGTGAACCTCCACCTGAAAAAGTTGTGACCACAGTGTGTGATAGGCATTTGGTTGATATGGGAAAGGCATTAATCTTTTAAGTAGAAGACATGGACAGTAAACCTGCTTCAAGTGATGCTAATATGCTACTCCAGAAGGCACAGGTTTTTGAGTATCAGCTGGGGTTGATACAATTCATTCCATGTAGATACTTTTGGGATTAATGAAAAATAGCAACTGTGAAGGGTTTTCAACCTTTATGCTTTGCTCTGGATAGCAATTCTCAATATCTTGGAGTCAACTACTAAGTCTTATGATTTGAAGATGATAGCAGACATATTGTCTGTGTTTCAACTGTGAACAGCAATGGGTCATCATGTATGCCAAAGATGGTACACCCAACGATTAGGCATAGGACAGCCATTCCCCTCCTTGTCTCTTTGGAGTTGGACTCTAATTAACAGAGGTCCCATGCTGAGTGTTAGCAGTATGAGACTTCCAGTTATTATCTTTGTAGAAACATAAAATCAAGATGAGTAAGGAGAATTTAGAATTTCTTCATTTAAGAATGATACCTTGTGGGTGGACATTTCTTATGATATACAGACCTCCTTCTAGGCCCCACCTCATAAAAGTTCTGGAGAAAAAAGTCTTTTCATGCATGGGCCTTAGAAAACATCCAATATCTAAAGTAACAATAACTTTAGTCTTAAGGCACATGGAAGGGGTATTTATGAGTCAGGGTTCTCTAGAGGGACAGAAATAGAATGCATATGTATTAAAAAGGGAGTTATCATGTTGGCTCACAGGATATGAACTGGGTATTCCAACAATGGCTCCTCTGTATCATGGAGAGGCTGAGAACCAAGTGGCTGCTTAGACTATGAAGGTGGGTGCTTTGTCAACCCCAATCTAAAACAGAAATAAAGGATTCCTGGAGAGCCACTGGTCTTCATTTATTCTATGTTGGAAAACTGATTAAGCTGGGTTCTGATGTCAAGAATGGCAGCAGCAGCTACACTAACAGCATTAATGTACTTACTAACAAGGAGCAAAGGCAGGCAAAAATTAGCTCATTCTTTGAACCTTCTTATATCTGGACCACCCACTCTCAGAAGGGTCTCCTCCTATGATTAATTTGTATTTGGAATTTTCTTTGGACTGCCAACTAGCTCTCAAATAAAGACACGGAGATGTATTACTAATTATGAGTGCTTGGCCTATTTTCAACTTGTCCCACTAGCTTTTATAACTTAATTTTACCTGTTTCTATTCGTCTGTGTTTTGCCACATGGCTTTTTACTATTCTTTCACTCTGTGTGTCCTATTTTTCTACTTCTTCCATGTCTGTCTGTCTGGCCGCTAGTGTCTCCTTGGTGTCTCTTTTTCTTTCTTCCCCTTCTTCCTCCAAGCCTAAATTTCCTCCTGCTACTTATGCACCCTGCCAAGAAGTCCATTGTATACCTGTTCTCTCACTAATGACCATTAGACTTTTATTAAATCAATCAGGTGCCTTAAGCAGGCAAGGTAGAACAGTAACACATCTTTACATAGTTAAACAAATATTCTGCTATATAAACAAATTCAATACATCTTAGCTAAAGAAACACAACACATATTTTATAGTTAAACAAATATTCTGCAACATGAATTCTCCCAAGAAGTACCCTCACAAACATACTCAAGTCTTGTTAGTTGATACCTTATCTAATTGAGTGGACAACCAAGTTTAACTACCACAGAGTAGATTACTTTGAAATGAATGCTCACATCATAGTGCTGGGAAATCAAATCTCATGAATATCCAGAAAGATGGATTTCTTGAGGAACTGATTTTGAACCCCATTGTTGGAACTGGAGTTTCGGGATCCTATAGAGGAGTCTGCAGGGCTCTCCACACTCTCCTCCCTGCAGTTCAGTGTCTCACTAGTGGGGTGAATTTAAGAAGTGAAGCTAAGGGCATCCTTTCCCTTCTCGCTCCAGTGAAGGCTGCACAGTCACATCGTCCATGGCCTTCCATCATGTGAAGAAGCAGGTCTTCCTGGGAAGCTCTCAATACTACAGTGCCACCTTGGTTTCTTTTTTATTTTAAAGTTTACAAACTTTACCATAAGAAAGAACTGCAAATGAAAAAGCTTCAAACACCAAAATTAAACAAACCCAAAGTCTATACAACTCAGTGAACTTGTTTTATTGATTATTGATATAAAGTGAGGTGATGGGTGTCTGAACATTATTGTTCAACATCAGATTTTATTTTTTATTCAATTTTCACAGTTCATAATTATTCACTAAATATACATTTATGTTGTCTTAGGGGTAATATAGAAATAATAACTTTTATAATATGTCAAACCAGAAGAGATATGTATGTGTATATTTATAGAAAATCATATTTTATGACAGTGTATCTGAAAATTTGTTCCTGCAATCAAAGGGGAGTACCCTCTACTTTTGGATAACCCCATTAGTTTCCCTTTAAGAGGGGTGCACGCCTGCCTTTCTCCCTTTTTAATCTGTTCAGCAGTGTGTGCCCAGCAGTAAGAGCTGTCCTTTGATTAAGATATGATCGGAAAATGATTCCCACACTGAACACAAACACAGGCACAATTTCATGGTCTGTAAAAATGATGAAGCATGCTTCTCACTTTCCCAAACACAGCAACTGGAGTTTCAATATTTCACCAACTTGTGCTGACTCTAAGGAGGTCTTCAGCCTCCCTGGGACAAGCCTCAGCTTTTCATTCATAAGGACTCAAATAAAGGCCTCTGAATGCCTTATTTTCCCTTGCTCCCTTCCTATGTGAACTGGGTATCCATGGAAACAGCTGAAGGATTAATACTCAAAACAGACAATCATCCATTTCTCTCTGAACAATACAGTACAAATAACGATTGTGTAGGAAAGATAAGAATTCTTGCAATGAATTAGCAGATGCAATTGGAGAATACAGGTGGGAGGAAGGTGGTCAAGGTTACAACTCCAAACACTTTCTTGATACATCCGGTGCATCTGTTGTACATAGACCCATCAGGTTCCATGAATGCTTCATCTGGTCATTTAAAGCACAATTTCTTAAACTTTTTTTCTGACTCATGTCCCCTTCCTTCCTAAGAGATTTCCATATGACCCTAATCATATAGATCTGTAAAACAGATATGCAAATCAAATATTCACCATAATAAATCATAAGGAAATTCATTTTAAAGTAAGTCTTCAGTGTATACAACATCTTACTCGCTGCTAAAATTTGCATACTAATGAGGTAGGTATTATTCATTTTTACATAAAGGACACAGAACATCTTCAGTATTTTTCAAAGTTGGTTGATACTTTGATTTTGTATTTTGTATTTGTCAATGTGTTGCTATGCCTAAATCCATGAGACAAAATGAAAGAAGTAAGTTTAGGGCCACTTCAGACACTGTTGGAAACCCTGTTCTAATCCCAAGCCCAAATGCACTGAATGATTCTTCCTGAAACTTAAGTCGGCAAACCAAACAGCAACTGAAGTAAAGCCCAGTATTCTAGACAATCAAATCCAAAGCTATTCTTACTTACTATTTACACAATAAGGAATGAAGGTAGCAAAATATCACAAGCCATGGTTTTCCGTGTTTAAACCTTTGCATTTCCCTAGAGCGGAAGATTATACAAACACTGCAGTTCATGAAAGACTGTGGCCTTTGATCTGACCGAAGTGTTCCAGGCAGCTCTCACTGATGCTGCTTGACACGTGCAATACGGAGGGCATGTGCTGTGCGCAGTGGAGCCAACACAGTCCGGGGGACCGGGTACTGCCAGAACCTAGATTCATTGAAGTTTTGATTTTAATTTAATTTTTGGTGACCTTTTATTCATCCTCAGATTTTCATGACTCCTACATTCAGCCATAGGTTGTAACCCACAGTTTAAGAAGGTACAGTTTAATGAAGTCTGGGACTGGGGCCTGCTGGAATTCGAAGTGCTGACGTGCCATCCTCAGTTTTGTGATAGTGGTGACCCATCCCATCATGACCAGCTGGCTGTAACCCAGGGTTGTAGCTGGAGTGAGCAACAGATGGTAGGTTCTAGCCTGCTGTGCCAGTTTGTGTCATTCATAGCCATATCACCATGGCAATATGTACTCTGGGATTTTGATTGACATTTTAATCTGGGATGAATGCATATCTCTGCAGAAACATAATATAGTAGACGGTACTTATGGAATAATTTTGATGTTCTGAATAGCTACAGAAAAATTATCTTATATAATTCTTTTTGTTTGTTTTTATTGCATTTAGAGTGTCTCTGTGCGTGTGTGTGAGAGAGACATGTGGTGGCCACAGGATAATTTAATTTAAAATAAACTTAGCAGATAGGAATTATGATATTCATTGAATACATGAGGTTAAAAGAAACGACATGGTTTTGAAAAACCAGAACTGTGTAGGGGAAGAGGCTGGACTAATCTGTGGCATGGCTTTACTGCACAGGTGTGGAAGATCCCACTCTCACAGGCTTCTCTTATGCCTTCCTAAACTCTGTTGTTTTGCTCATATAGATTTTATACTTTTAAAAATTAAAATTTGTTGTAGGTGTTTAAAAGTGTTGAACAATTAATGATGATCAAATAGACATGAGTCTGAGGGCATCAGGAAGTGAGTTAACAGAATAATTCTTGTTAGTAGGATAAAAGGAAAAGATACGTTGTGTTATCTGTCTAGTGGGCAAAATGGCATTTGCTGAAATCAAATTCCCACTAGTAATTACATTTAAAACATTAGGAAACACCGGGAGATCATGTTTTAACATGATACAGAATTGACAGCATCTTAGTAAAGGAGGAAACCACAGAACTGATGTCATTAAAGCCAGGGTAATTCAAAGTGTCTGCTGTCACCACCACTCCTCACCACACTTTAAGTTTTGGCCAGAGCATTAGACAAAGAAGTGAAAACAAAGGCATATTTATGGGAAGAAAAGAAATCATCAGCTTTTACAGAAGAGTTGATTATATACTTTTAAAACAGCACAGGGGAGTGGAGTAACAAACAATTAAAATTAATTGGAAAAGCCATGAAGCTGTAAGATTAGGACATCAATGTGCAGGAAAAAACAGAATGAAAAAGAATCTATCAGTTTTATGAACAATAACTTTACTTCCCATACAGCATGCATATATTAATTTTGCTTTTCTCTGCTTTGATAGTTACTTAGTTGAACATCTTGAGATGTTAAGTGGTTAAAACTACTTTGCTTACATTTCTATCAGGTTTTAAAATATGATTTCTCTCTCTGTCTCTGTTTCTGTCTCTGTCTCTCTCTCTCTGTGTGTGTGTGTGTGTGTGTGTGTGTGTGTGTGTGTGTGTGTGTGTGTAGGTGGTGTGATGTGGTACCATCAGCTGTTCTCCTTTCAGAGATATTCAAAACCAGGGGGCATTTCTCTATTGGGAATGTGAAACAAATCACCTGGCCCTTCACAGGTGGGGTCTGCTCGTCATCTCCATCAAATGCAGCATGCACCTCCTTTACCTCCGTTAAGTGCATCCTGTGTTGGAAAGGAAGGAAAAGAGAAGGAAGGGAGGGAAGGAGGGAGGAAGGAAGGAAGCCTATGTTGTCTCAAGCAGAGACACCAATTTTACCAATCAAGACAATTCACTCTCTTCTGGTTTTATTTGTTTATTTTTACCACTTATTTTATTTTTATTTATGTGTCTGCACAGGTATCTGAGGAGACCAGAAGCAGGAGTAAGATCCCCTGAACTTGGAGATACAGATTGTGCCTGCGTTTTATGTCACCATGACACAACCTAGAGTCATTTGGGAAGCAGAAACCTCAATAGAGACAATGTCCCTACCAGATTGGCCTATGTGCATTTTCTTGATAGATGAATTATGTGAATGAGTCCAGCTCACTGTGGTGTGTGCTACTCTTGGGCAGTAGGTAGTCCTGGGTGTTATAAGAAAGCAAGTCGAGAAAGCCAAGGGCAATCAGTCCAGTAACCAGCATTCATCAATAACTTCTGCATCACTTCCTGCCTCCTGCCCTGCCTGAGTTCCTGCCCTGATTTCCTTGGATGAGGAACTTCAAGTTTCAATGCAAAAGTTTCCTCCCCAAGTTGGTCATGGTGCTTTAGCACAGCAGTAGAAAAGTAATTAAGACACAGGTGTTTGTGAGCTGTGCTATGTGATTGCTGGGAATCGAATCCAGGTCCTCTCGAAGAGTGGCAAGAGAACCTAACCATTGAGCTATCGCTCCAGCTCCATGATCTGATTTTTAAAAGACATACTATGTTATTTTTTTAGACTAGCAGTCTTGTAATGATGCTATGTTTTGATTCTAGTGGGACTGGAAGGGTAATGAATCTCTCACACCTGTGGCTGTTGATCGTCAGGGGGACCAGTTGGTTCAGTAAGAAGAACCCATCTTGGAGATTTCTCTTACTGAGACACTGACATATTTCTTTATTTGTAAAATAAAATAAAATAAAATAAAAAACGATAACAAAACCCAAAAATCTCTTTAGATGTTAAGGGCAAATGCAAGACCCTCAAACCCAGACTTGACTGTTCCAAAGTGCAAATGTCCAACATTGTTTCTAATTGCTCTCTTGCAATTGACCAGTGTTCATTTCCAAGATAAGGGAGTTTCTGTTGGGCCAGGTGGACAAATACTCCAAAGGCTGTGGCAAGTTCCCACTTGAATAGTGTGCAATTGCTTTTTGACCACAAAAGTCATTGAAGAAGCTATGATGTCCTGTTATGAAGAAGCAATGATGGTGTGAGAGACAGGTACCCAAAAGCCAAGTTTTCAGGAATTGTTCTGTGTCTTACAATGTAATTCTTGATTGTTCCCATTTTTCAGTTTTATCTGCGCATTTAATTTACAATAGCAGCATTTAGTGATTCACATCCAGGTTCTTCAGATATCTACTCTGTTACCCATCAACCTGGTGTCATTGGGTATCTCCCTGAATGCCTGTCTCTTTGTCTTTGCTTTCTTACTAGTTAAACAATGCTGTTCATGCCTTCCTCCCCCTAGGCAAGTGTGTGGATTAGAACCAATGTGTGCAAAGTATTTGGAATTCACGAAATGCTTTATACTGGGAGCTGTTATGATTATGCACCAGCTGGTTTTGCTATGTTCCTGGACAAGCCTGCTTGAAACTATGGAACTTCCAAGGGTTGGGGATGATCAGTGATAATCTGGGTCTAAAGGAAAGTAGGATGGTAGGACCACCCCATTCTTATGGGAAAACAACTATCATTGAAAAGCTTATGATTTCGTGAGGGGGGTGAAAAAAGTTCCCTCCTGCTGCCCTGCTCCATCAGCAAGGCTGTTCCGCTGAGGGCTGAACTTTTCTCTTTACTAAGCTCCTGCGTGGAAGCTCCCACCAGAAGCTTGCATGTTTCCAAGTCCCATTAATACAGCTGGCAGGGGAGAAAACCTGGACTGAACCCCTAGAGAGCCTAGCTTTCTCACAACTTTAATATAAAATGACAGTGCTTATTTTGTGACAAAGCTGTCTACACTAGACCTGAAATGTCTGTTGCATTAAAACAATTTCACACTCATTTCTGGATTTTGGTGGATCCTTACTTTGGAACATGACAGAAGAATCTGTAACCCCCCAAAGAGTGAACAACTACCTTGAACAAAGGACAATTTAAAAAGGGAGAGAAGGGAGGCAGAGGCAGGGGATCTCTGTGAATTTGAGGCCAGCCTGGTCTACCGAGCAAGTTCCAAGACAGGCTCCAAAACAATACAGAGAAACCCTGTCTCGGAAAAAAAAAAAGAAAGAAAAAAGAAAAAGGGAGAGAAGGGCTTCTTGTCACAATGGCCTAAATCCACACTCAAAGAAAGGGGCCTATGGTACAGCACTTGGGTTCAGGGAGATGCAATGCACTTTGTCAGGAACAAAGAAGCTTAACTGAGCAATAGCCATTTTCAGGAAATTCTCTGAACATTAGCAGAGGGAGGGAGAGAGGAGAGAGGAAGGAAAGAGAGGAGAGGAGAGGAGGGGGAGGTGAGGGGAGGGGAGGGGAGGAGAAGGGAGGAGGTTTTTCCCTATCCTGGGCGGTAAAATTCTGGAATGAACAGAAACCAGCCCCTGAGAGCGTTTCTCCAATTTCCTTAATTTATAGTTTTAATAACATTTCAGTGCCTTTTACATCTTTTCAGCACCCATTTTGCAAAGCATAATCATCTCAACACTACCCACTGGATGTATTAGGTTTTCTGCAATACTTAAACTCCTTTAGGATCTTAAACATCACCTTGACACTGCTGATGGGGAACAGGTGAGAGCAGATACTAAGTTTGGGTAAGTCAGCAGAAACTCCAGCATGCATGAGCATCAGAATGTGAGTCCTCCACCTGCCTCATGCCTCTTGAAACCAACACTCCATCATGGTCTTTGCCTTACTTCAGTGTTTAAGGAGGTCATTGTTTAAGAATGCCACACCTCTGAGATATGATAGGTTGGATTTTTGTGTCCTGCTGCATATTACTTGTACTTTATCCCAAAGGAACTTCTAAGCACCTTAGGTGTAGACACCAGGCACAAGAATGTCTTTTAAGCTTCCCTATGATTCTGGATCACATCAAGTACCTACCCAATAAATGAATTTTGATGGAAAAACTCTTAGCAACTCTTTACCAGATTAGTAGTGATGACATAATTATAATAGGATATTAAAAGGGGAGCTGTACTGGCTGGTTTTGTGTGTCAGCTTGGCACAAGCTAGAGTCATCAGAGGAAGGAGCCTCAGTTGAGGAAATGTCTCCATGAGATCCAGCTGCAAGACATTTTCTCATTGAAATATTTTCTCATTTACTGATCAATAGGAGATGTTAGGGAGGTCCAGTCCATGGTGGGTGGTGCCATCCCTGGGATGCTGGTCCTGGGTTCTATAAGGAGATGGGCTAAGCAAGCCATGGGAAGCAAACCAGCAAGCAGCTCCCCTCTATGGCCTCTGTATCAGTCCCTGCCTCTAGGTTCCAACCCTGCTTGAGTTCCTGTTCTGACTTCCTCCAAAAAAGGACTATGATCTGGTAATGTAAACCAAATAAACCCTTTCCTCCTCAACTTGCTTCTGGGTCATAGTGTTTTATCCCAGCAATAGAAACCTTAACTAAGACAGGAGTTGACCAACTATAAATAAAAGGGTTAATAAACTATGTAATATTCCATGAGTGGAACATTATATAGAAACTGAAACTGTATTGAAAGAATTCTTAATGAGATGTCTCATGATATATTACTACTACAAAGCACAGGAAATGTGACTGTTAACTCTTTATCTGGCCAATACTATAATTCATTTGAGCCAAGAAGAAAAGGCTAGAATGTTATTCATTGCGGCTTTGGTAATGGCTATATCTGGGAAGCAGAATTGTAAAAGGTATCCATACCTTAGCACAACTGAAACCATGTTGGAGGCAGCATCTGGCCTTAGAACCCAGCACATAGACACCAATATTTGCCATAACAGGAACAAAGATCTAATCCATCAAATACCTGGTTCGTAGTCCCAGGATCCAGGAAAGTCCCCAAATATTATAGTTTAGCTTCTTGCTAACTGTTCTTACTGACTGAATTGTGCCAACTATAATGTGGGATTTTGTGCATAAAAGACAAAGAATGGTACAGCTTGGGGCTGTATGATTTTTTCCCATGCAGGAGCAAGCCAGAAACATAGACTTTCTCTTTGACTTTAAGGATGTCCATGTATATTCTCTGGTGAAGTTAACTCACAATGTTCGGGAGGTCCCCTACAAGATTTCCAGGGACTGAGAGAGTGGGACACCAGGAGCCTCAATCTCCTGGGATGATAGTGTGGGGGAACAGACAGATCCTAAAGGGTGCTCACTCTGCAGCACCTCAGGAACTTCTCCAACCTCTGCTCAAGTTGACTCAGAGGCTCCTGACATCTCCATCATAAATAGGAAACTACAGAGTGTTGCCTGATCTATCCCCTCCAGAGTGAAGTTGAAATCTGCTTATTGTACCTTCTGCACAAGTACACTTTAGAAAAATCTGGAGGCATCCCTAATTACAGTGTACAGGATCCACATGAGATGCCACCAGATCTCTGGTTTCAGCCTGTGAAGTGGCTACCACTAATTGTATTTATTGCTGCCTATCCATGTGTCTCTATATGTTTCTGTCAGTTTTGTTGCTTGGGGAAGCGGTTCTAAAATGGGAGGGGAGTAAGTAGTTCCAAGACTAAGTTGAAGTGCATGCTAAAATATTTCAAGGAGAGTTTAGTGGATGAGGATGGATATCCATCAATGGCTTCTCTAGTGTGAGATCCAACACTCGGGCTTAAGAACTGTATCCCTTATTGAGAACACGAATACTTCTGGCTCAGCCAGGTGACCCAGAGTAACCCAAAACTTCTACCTGTTTTCTCAGCCCCACTGGAGAAAATTGGCTTCCTCCCTCTGTATGTGTCAACATGGCCCTTATCACATGGAGACGGTACACAAAGTTAACAGCTCTGGCAGAGGCTCCTATCTGGTCCTACCACTGAATACTCCATTGAGGAGACTCAGGATAGCCAAGCCTCTGTTGTCTCTGGCTACAATAGGCACCTACTATTCTTAAGAGCAAACTTCTCAGTAGAGCCCTCTTCTCCAAGGGGCAAAGTGTTACAATAAATTCTTCTCTTGAGAGACTACATTTTCAATGGACGTTTTATGCAACAATAGATAACTGAGAGATAAATTTTCTGATGCATCATCAGCAAAGACAACATGAAGACTAAATACATGAGTGATTTTCTAGAACTGAAGAATGAAAACCTAAAATGGCAAGGCAGGGGAAGAAATTGGAAGTATCTTACAGTAGTCACCAACTGACTAATAAAGCAGCTGTTTCCAGGTGTTTTGTGTTGTTTTTGGGGGGTGTTCTTTTGCTCTTGTACTTATAGTTTCCTTATTATAAAGGAATGTGATATTCTAGAGAACATCCAAGTTTATGATCTAGGAGCATCCAGACTCAAATCTCAACTGTCATCTACATTGCATACCAACAGGGCCAGTTCACTCAAAAAACTGTGTGTCTGCTCAGATGTCCTTTACAAAACCCAAGATGCTCTGACTCTTGCCATATAGTTGGCCCCTTCTCCACAGATTTTGCCCTCACCTAACAGAAGCCATCTTGCCTCTAAGGTCTGGCACTCTTACTCACCTTGGGCATGGTCCCCAGCCAGTGATACAGGTGTACAATCATTGATGTCTAGTACAAGGGGAGTCATTCTGTAAGGTTTATTCACCCAGAATTTCCTCCCACGGACCAGTCCATGATTATAGATTTCGGAGGTTCACAGCTTTCCATGCTCTACTTCCTTATTTAGCCTTCCCCATTCCCTGCTTGGTTGGTCTCCAAACAAAATTCCCTTCTTAAATTCCATGTTCTCAAATTCCACTCTTAGACTCTGCTTCTGGGAACCCTAACTTAAGACACTTACTTTATTTTAGACTCCTCCTTGATGTCCAAACTGTGCTGTGAAGCAAAGCTGAAATTTTCTAACACAAGTGTATCCAAGATGATCAACAAATAGTAACCACTCTCCTCTCCTTATTTCTATAAAGTGGGAAAATGTGAGCGGTTTCTTTAAACATAGAAAGTACTCAAGTGGATTTTCTGCACTCAGTATACGGAGACAAAAAAAGTGGTTGAAGGACACTGGCTTTTTAAAAGTGAAGCTATTAATATTTATGCTTTTTGTATGAAACTATGAGGTGTGCCAGTGGTGTCTGTGAGTTCTCTAGAAGAAACCCTCAGTAGGGGACCAACTGCCTCTTCATTTAGTGATGAGCATGGATTGATCTTTGCTTTCCCAGGCTGTCCTCAGAATGGAGTTCAGTAGAGAGGCCATGGTATATCTGCTGCAAAATCATAAAGAATAGGTTTCTTTTGCAAAAGAATCACACTTCAAAAAGATGCCCAGGCTACAGAATAGCCTGTGTGTGTCTTCAGCACTGGGTAGACACTATTCTGTGCTTATCCTACTTCTAACTTCTAACCCACAGAGCTGAAGAGTAACTGCAGTAGAAACAGAAACACAGAGAGAGGCAAGAGGCTAGAGGCTCCATGCTCCATCCTAGCCTACTGCCCCAGCAACAAGGTGCCTTCTTCTGTGGTTTCAGTGTATCTCCCAAACTCTACATTTTAGAAGCTTAATCCATAGTGCAGTGAACTGACAGGTGGGACTTTTAAGATGTGACAATGTCAGCTGCACTCATGAACTCATCAACTTTGGTTGTGTGCACAAAATCAAGCAGGTCAGCATCCTAGCAGGAAGCAGGCAGGGTCATAGCAGCTCTCACCCTTACCTGAGGAGTTATTGACAGCTGATAGCTTCTAGTATTTTAAGGGTGTGGCTCCTGGTGGCTGGACCTTACTTCAGTGGATGAACCCACACTCAAGAGTATATGGACAGCACCAATTGGATTTACTGGTTATTAAAATAAAAAAAAAAGATATGGAATTGGGAGAGGGTGGCAAGTTGAGGGAGTGGACCTGGAAGGAGCTGGGGGCAAATAAAACTAAAATATATCTCATGAC